ATACGTAGGTGCACCAGTATTGATTATTGTGGGTTGGGTTGTCTTGTCTCTTAGCTTCTTTTTTTGGTGAGAAGGACTAAGTAAAGATTTATATTTGAGAAATGAGAGCAGCAAATGCTATTATTATGGATTGAGCAACTTTTTGCTGGTTGTTGATTTCTGCTTCAATCTTTTGCCGAAAGTCTCTTTTGATTATGTTTAGAATGATCTGGTCCTTCTGTTTATAAGCAGCTTGCCACTTAATGAGTCGACAATATTTAACAGATTTTACCATAACTAGAATTGGCTTCATTGGACAAATATACCAATGCTTTCATATAACGTAACCCCCGAATCTCATATTAAAAATTTCACATAATGTAACGCCCCATATTTTATATTAAAAAAATATGAGAATATGATATGATATATATATATATATATATAAATTTAAGTTTATATTTGTGAGACATAATTTATGAGATAAAATCGTGAGATCTTATATCAAAATGAATAATACTTTATAGATTTAGTGTGGATCTTCACAAATGATATTAGACAGTCACCCATTGAATAAAATTAACTATTACACTGTGAAGCCATTTTAAAATCCTAACATCTTATATAATCCTGATTCTGTAAGTTTGTATGTACCTTATTAGGCTTGATGGAGACGTTAAATTTTAATAGAAAAAATTTTAACATCTCTAATCTTATTTTAAAAAAATATGAAAATATGATATAATATATATAAAGAGATCTAAATCATATTTGCAAGTTTTTTTTATGGGGTAAAATTGTGTCCTTTGATGCGGATCTCCACACATAATGCAACATTTTTGCTCAAAAATATTATTGAAATGAAAATCATTCCATTCATTGTCTATAAAATTTTAAAATTTTACAAATAAAATTAATAGAATGATACATATTTTAAAATATCATTAAAAAAAGTTTAAAAAAAGTGATACAAAATGTAAATTTTTAATGCCATTATGAGTTAAAAATTTTTGTTGACAGTGTATAGGAAAGAACTCATCAAAAGAATATGTTATAAATACATAGAACATAAAAGCAAAGTTGTTATATTTTGTCCCACTCATCAATGCTACAAACAAATTTCACACATAAAGCGTTGTGGAATTTGCGGAAGCAAGACCACCCTCTTAGCAATTTATGGCATGTGATTGATCTCCTTTGTCATAAAGCCACTAAACCAGGCAGGTAAAAAAATCAAGACGAAGCTAGCAATCATGTACAGTACCATTGAAGTCAGCAACGTCCATAGTCTATAAGGCCTCAGCCCCTTAATGGGCAACGATAATTGACAAAGGCAGTAATAGCCAGATATTTAAGCTATTTTATTCGTTTCTGAGCCATCTAAGGCTTTTATTGTAGCCCTATGGTTCTGTAATTTTCATGGTGCAAGAGGCAAGATGCCAAGGGTTCCACTCTGGTAAGTAGGTGAGTCTTTCACTGGGGGAGATGCGGTCGCATCTTCTTAGGTAGAAATTAGTTGGATGGGTCTAGAATGACCAAAGGACTAGGGCAGCATTAGGGTAGGTTCAACAGTGTATTTTTGGGGGCGTTGGTGTAGCAATAGTTTCAATTACCAGACTTGTGGATGAAGCAAGTTCATCTGCCATTGCAAGCATATTTTTCATTCCTCCATTACAGGAATATACAATTCTGATAAACAACAGTTCTCTACAATAAGTTTTCAAGTACTTTCAATGCTTAAGCAGGTTCCAGGTGGTAATCCTATTCGTCATCTCCCTTTTTTTCTTGTAATTGGAATGCTTTTATACTCAGTAAAAAGACTTGTATGAAGAAGATTCCCTTTTATCCCAGTAAACTTCCCATGACTCGTTCCCAGGGACTTGATCTTGAAGTTGCACAAATAAGTTATTGACCATTTAAAACCTTGCAAAGGAACTTGGGTAACTTTTTGTTTCCTCTCCATCAAAGTGTAAATCGCTAGAATCATGCATGATTCTCTGCCCTGAAATTGATGCAATAAGTGCTCTCAAGTGTTTGTTTCTCATCATTTATTTACAAACACATGACATCTGATTATGATCTGATGACATCCTTGGTGTAACGCATTATAAAAGCTTTTGCTATAAATATATATATATATATATATATATATATATATTCTTCGAGGGGTTAAATGTCCTTGATCAAATTGTTATAACTCAGGCCCCTCAAAACAAGCATTTGTAGACTACAGTCTTTTTAAATTGAACCCTACCCACCGACCTTTCTAAAACATGAAAGTTGAAGGAGAGAAGGCCACGATACATTGCACAGATACTCACAAAAAACAACGAGACATTTAATTCCCATCCTGAAAGCAGCATCAAATTGATCATTTTCTAGATCCTTGAGCCAATAATATTACTTCAAAACCAGGAAATTGGGTGCCCAGTTAAGCACACAATTAAAGAAAAGACTAGTTATTAGTAGTATTAAGTTGGTAAGTCAGTATAATACTGCTCATATCATTGATATATATATATATATTGTTTTTTTTGGATTCAACATTTACTTGGATTTGAGTTGAGATAAACTCCAAATCCTAGGTGAATATATAGAGGATTGCTAGAATTCATGCAAAAATTAAAGTATTTTTTAATTAGTTTCATATGACTGTTTTGCAAGCATCCCATTCAAAGCTTCATGACAGATGGAACCACAATGCACAAAAGAGAAACTTGAAAAAGGAGAGAAGATAAGAAAAAGATAAGAAAGAAAGCAAAAGAAAAGGAAATGTCACTGGTTTTACTTCCTGGTTCTGGAGAGTACTATGCAAAATAAAGAGGATACCAAAACTACCTTGAGAGGAAAGTAAAAATATAAAAGGATCAAGCACAAAAAATCTAAAATCCCTTCCCATAAACATTTGACACAAACGACCCTTCTTAAGGACTCTATACCTACACTACAAGGGGGCAAGGGCTATACCTGTACGGTGAACTTTCGTGTTGGGACTCAAAAGATCATCATATCATCCCCAATCTCACCTACAGTTCAGGTCCACTCCTCGAGTTCCAGTGGATCCCACTCTAGAACTCTTGCCAGCCATTGATCATCACCAACCTCCCCTTTGTCACAGCCCTCCATTTCCTCTTCTCCTCCTCCTAATACATTATTACTGTTCTTATCGTCAAACCCCATCCCCATTACCCATAATCTGTTCTCCGGTGACCCGTTTCCGATCTCCGGTGACCCTAGCTTTACATTGGATAACTTCCCGGCGGGTCCCACTAACTCAATGCCAGCCATCACGGTGGACGATGAGTCAGACATTGAAGCCCCACAGCTCTCACTCTTAACATCGCTAACGGATAAGAACGGCAGAGAAGACAAAGAAAGAGGCGGTGAAGACAACGATGACGGTGATGGCAAAGTTACCGTTGGTGGTGAAGTGTTGTTAGAAGAGCTTTTTATCTCTTTATAAAGCTCTTGCATTATCTCCTCTAGTTTCTGTTCTTCGACCAAACCCTCATTGGAGAACTCGCTTTCGTCGTCGGATTCCGTCAACAACACGTTCAGCTTCCCCACAATATCTCCGGACAGTTCAGTCTCCGGCGACATCGAGTCATATTTTCCTCCTAGCACCATCATTTTTTTTATTGGGAGTTAAGAGTGAAGAAGAGAGGTAGCGGGCATTATAAAGAGAGGAAGAGTGACACGTGGCAAAGGGCGGTGGTGATGCCACGTTGGATGATAGGTGTTAGTGAGATGACGTGGAGAGCACAGGGCAAACTAGGTGACGAAAGAAGAGACAAAAGATTTGTCAAAATAGTCGGTTTTTGAAGCAAGCAGGGGAAGGAAGATTTGTTTCGAAGAAATAAAAATAAATTAAAAAAAAAAAAAAGACTTTTGTCTTTGTTGAAAGGGAGAGAATCAACTAAGCCAAAGAAGGGTTTGGTGTTGGGTAAACGACAAGGATTGCATCGAGGAACGCAATTTTGTATTTTATGTTTACGAGATTGCCCCTGTCTTAATAGTACTATGATTTTCCTTTTTTTTTTTTTAATTTGCTTCCAACTTGATTTATGTCTATTTTTCTTAATCGTAGGCCATTTTTAATACTATTATTTTCATACTTTCAAATGAAATGTTTCATTCATCAAATAATGAGATTAGATAAACATATTTAAATTGGGGTTTAACTAGTCAGTAAATATGAACATTTTAAATATGAAATAATGATATAATAAAAAAATAATACAAAATAAACACAAAAATAATATAATTTAAATTTTCAATAAAATAGTATGTGTTTAAAAAAATTTTCATATTTAATATGTGAACACAATTATAATAAGTTAATTCTCATATTTTATATAAATTTGATATGAAATAAATATAATATAAATACATAAATTATTATATCAACAAATTAATTGAATTACTTTTAAAAAATAATATTTAATGTATCAAAATCCGAATGTCACCATTTATAATTTTTCTTTTCTATTCTTAAATCAGAAATTTTCTTGTACCAAAAAAAATTAGGTAAATAGAGTTGTGTTTATGGAGTACAAATTAAGTACTAGGACTAGGAGTAGTACAAAATGAACTAAAAAATATAATTTTGTATTTAATTTTAATCATGACCACTTACCAAACAAGTAGACAAAGTACAACAAACGTACCTACAAAAGAAAAAAAAAAAGTGCTTCCCGCGGTGATTTTTATAGAATGAAACTTGTTTTACTAATTTTTTTTTTTTTTTAACTACATATAGAAATGCTTCTCACTCCTTTACCAGGGACCCAGGGCATTGTCTTTTTTTTTTTTAACTTCTAAGGTTTCATTCGGATGGATTGTGATAATAATAACAAAAATTATTGTAATTATGATTAAAAATTTTTAATAAAAAATTTATTATAAATGAATCTTATTAAAATTAATATTTAAATTTAATTAATAATGTAATAAATTAAATCGTACTGCAATGAAGATACGATTAAATTGAATCCAAACCAAACAGACACTAAGATTAGCAGGTTCTCTCAGTTTCAAATGTACCATGCAAAAAAGGGAACGGAGGGGGGGAGGTGGATTTCCTCTGCTATTTATAATGTCTGCCCATTTTTCATGTACAAATATGAGTTTCTGCAATTATCAGCCGAACCTGGAATGCCACTTTGTTTGAAGAGATCTTATGGCAGTAGGAAATATGCAACAACCCCACCCCTGAAACCACATTCATTAACTCATTATTTACTGATCCATCTGTTTCTTTTGGGGCATTCTTCTCCCTAGAAATCTACGACTTGAAAACAATGGTGGCGAAATTGGAAGCCGAAAACTTTAATTTTGATAGGTGAGCAATTGCATGGTAAACTAATTAGTCACAATATATACCTATACATATACATATAGCAATTTGAGCACAATGGAATGATATTTGTGCCTCGAATGAAACACTATGATCAAAGTGAATACAGGCTTCTATTTTATCTTCAATATCTAATCTCTTCAAAAGGGTAATTAGTCCTGCAGAACCTATTCTTTATGCTTCTATGGCACAGTAATATAACTTATTGTCTGATAGGACCAATAATTTATACTTCATTATGGGGGGTTTCTCATTTCTGATAGCTTCATCACGGGCAGGCGGGAAAAGAATAAAATGCTTTAACAAATTTAGCAAGAACAAACCAAAATTACCGCATCTGGAGGTGGCTTTAAGCAACCAACCTATATGCAAGCGGGATCAACATCCTGGCTAAATTCAAGCCAAAGAGGTATTATCTGTCATCAGGACGCAATGTTGGGCTTTTGGAGCACATATCGATCTTGTGAAGCTCCTTAAGTTTGCTAGCTGGATTGCATAAACCTGAAAAAAGATACCAATTTACTCACCGGGTAGATCAGCCAGACAGATATGAAATGAGAAAGTGGTCCTTATATACTAAGCTTAGTGGTTAAATTCTTGTCCAAGCCCATGATAATTGACAAATTTCAGGAAGCTACCTCATATTAAAGTATAGGATAAGCATTAGCCAAAGAATTAAGATAAAAGTACTAGCAGTAACATAGACAGATGCAACTTCACAAGATGTAAACTATTGCGTGATAGTGGAATCTCTATTTTCCTTTTGTTTTTTGTTTTTTGGTTTTTTTCCATTTTTCTCCAGACCAATAACATGAAAAGAGAAATAGCAAGGTTTCTGATGCCGATTTTGAAATTGGCTACTTAACCATCAAAAAGCCTTTTCAGGCAGTAACAAATAGAATGTAGCAGAAATCCAATAACATCCAGCCTCAAAATTCTACTAAAATCAAAGCAGAAGGGCACTTTCGAAATGGCAATAAGTAATGACAATATGAAGGTAAATAAACAAAGACAGAGGTCATGGCGTGAGAAAGAAATGATTGTGAAAACATTCATTGAATATCTGGTGTTGTATATATGAAACTTGGAAGGATATTAGCAGGAACTTAAAACGCAGGTATGGGCAAATGCAAAACATTCATTCCATATAATGATGCCTGTCTTAGAGATTTTATAGGGAAAACACAAAAATATATCAAGGTCGAGGACATGGTCTTTGTTAGGGTAGGCTATGATTTTAAATGAGATCTTCCTCTACCTTCTGGTAGATGAATCATTAATGTACCATCTAAGGACTAAGGCTAAGAAAGCAAAAGATAAAAAAAAAATTAAAAAAAAAAAACCTTTTACTTTTGTATTACAAGCTTGTGAAAAGGATCTCCTATGGCAGCCAGGTAGATAAATGGGGAGGCACAGGGAGACCGAGCAACTTTATGAAGAAAGGGTCTTAATTACAGGTTCTTTTGACAACAAAATTCACACTTTATGCGAAAGGAAAAGGAGAGGGAACAGGTGCATCATAAAAATCTCGGTAAGACCTCCGCATTCTAAGCATTTATCACATTCAAACATCTCGTTAACAAAATAGAATAACAGGGTTTATTAATATGGTTATGCTACCTGAGCATCTTGGAATATCCCAGACTGCTATTGATGTAGGTGTACAACGAGGATCACATATTGCTCGGTTATCTTCATGATGCACATTCATAGCTAGCATCCATGATCCAATAGTGACATCCTCATTGTTGAACATCCTCAAACTGAAAGGTGGAATAACTCATATTATAATAGAATAACTGGGGGAGGGGGACAAATTGAGGTTATAGAGAGCATTTAAGAGAAATAATGAGGATAGCAAAACTATACAAATAAAACGAAGAACAAGTTTGATTTCCTATATTATGAAGTTGATCATTTCTATTGATATTAAACAGACTAACAAAGTAGACAGATAAGTTGTAGAAGTGAGATAATTAGAACTATATGTAGCAAACACATCATAACGTTTTTAGTTAACTTAAGGGTGAAAGATGACAATGCAGGGGACAGTATTAACAGGATGCTCTTTAGAAATAAGGGGTTAGAGGAAAAAAATGCTTGTTTAGTGCTATTTACAGTTCTTGCTGTTGTTCTGTTATAAACTGCTTTGCGGCTAGGTACAGCTTGTTCATTTTGTAGTAGGCTTGCCTACTTCTTTGTATGAATACAAATCTCATTTATCCGAAAAAGAAGGGTGAAAGATGATTAAAAGCTGCAACTGCCAAGAGATATAAACTACAATAGATTTCAAATGAATAATTGAGAAGTCAGATTTGGATAGGAATGAGCATTTTCTAACAGCTTTGTGGTTCTAAACAAGCCGAAAAGTTGGGTATAAATGAGCTACAAGCACAAGTAAACCCATTTTTTTATATTAAAAACTCGTCCTCCTTTGAAGCATATCTCGCATGTTAAACTCATGATATTAGGTCAACAAACAACTATCCAAGTTCCAGACAAACTAATGAAAAGGCCCTGATTTAAACTCAATAATAATTATTCCCAGCAGCATTTAAAGCAAATTAACATTTTTTTTTTAAAGAAAGCAATGCAATCAGGTGCACTAAAAACTAAACATGACATAATTCTATCGTCAGTTCAATATGAAGAATGATTAAGAATAACAAATAGCAAGTAGAATCAAACTCAAAGCAAAGGCAAACCTGTTGTTCCTAGCAGCTGCCAAAGAAGCCACCACCTCTGCAGAGAGAACATATATAGGACCATAAGCATGCAAGAAATACTCATTTCCAATCAGATGTCCTGATTTCTCATACCTGAAATTTTTATACTAATAAATCCTCAAATTTTACATATTTCAAGGTATAACATAAATAATCGAAGAGATAAAAGTCACTACATGAACAATTCATACCATTTCAATTTAGGGTCAGTGATCACAGGTCCCTTCTTCATGCACCCAATGTAAGTCTGAGAATGGCTTCGCTCCTTAGCAAGAAGAGTTGCAAGCCGATCTGATTAAGTAAAAAATTTAACATCAAATTCAACACATTTAACAACAGAAAACACACTCACACTTTTGGATTACCTGGACGCAAATAAATGTCATCATCAGCTTTGACATAATAATCTGCTTCAAAAAGTTTAAAAGCTGCTTTGAAGAATGCCAATCTGAACATGGAAGGGCAAAAAAAAGGGATTAACGTAGCCTGATACAAGCCATTGCATCAATAAGACGGTGCTAAAAATTAAAACTGCTTACGTTTTGTAAGGAAGCTTAAGATACTCTTCCTCAACATCTATAAGCATGAAATCTCTGTACTTTTCAATCTCTCTCTCAAGCATTGACATTTTCTTCACATCTTTCGATTTCCCTATCACAAACCTGAAACCTAGACCCGTAGCTTGCTCCAGCCTAGTGGAAAAAGTTGAACATGTTAGCTACCCTAAACTCGGCAGGGCGTCAAACCACGTTGACCAACATTTTCAATGGCAAATTTTATGAAATTAAAGAACCCAAATTCAAAACTCTGAATTATACCTTAAAAGGCCATCTGGGTCGGAAGGAAACCAGGTGCTACGAAGTGCAGACCGGCGATCTTCCGATTCGAACCCGGTTTGGATGCCAACGAAGCCGAGAAGCTTGGGGCGATCAACTAAGCCTTCGTTATTATCATCGCCAAGCTTTCCAGAAACAGAGGAAGAGTAAAAGGCTCGGAAAGTGTCCTCGGATTTACCGCATCGGAAGACAGGTAAAGGTTGGCGGCGGCGTATGGCGGAGATGGTGAAGAGTGTGCCGGCGAGACCGATGAAGAGGCAGATGAGCGAAAAGACGAGAATGGGCAAGGGAGTGCGAGTAAAGGGAAAGGTGGGAATGGGCTTCGAAGGCTTGAGAGGTTTAGAGGAATAGAAGGAAGGGAGCGGAGCGGAGGCCGCGGAGGAGCGATGAGAGAAGAGTGGCATTTTGGTGAATTATGGACAAAAATGAAGGAGAAGAATCGGTAATTCGGTGATGAAGAAAGATTTAACAACCGTCGGTGCCAGTGGAATCGTGGTACTCTCTGTCGGAGGGAGATGAGGTACAAATATACTACAAGTTGGTGCTTTGTCTTTTTCTTAACACGAGGCTTCTCAAGCTTACCATTTCTTTTTTCTCTTTAGAGCAGCTTCACTTAAGAAGGCAAATAATCTGGTGTTCTGGAAATAGTCCACCCGCCATCACCATTAGATGTAATAAAACGTATATGACACAAAAATATGAGTTAAAATTTTAATAAATATTATATATGATTTATATAAAAATAAATATATATTTTATATTAATGTGTTTATATAAATTATAATTTTATTATTTTATAATTTTATTTAATTTTAATACATAAATATGCAAATTATCAAATTTAATTAACGTTACCAATTTCAATGAAAACTACAAGCCTCAATAACACTTTTACTGTCCACGTCAAAATTTTAAGATTTTATGTCACAAAAAATATCTCGTAAATTGAAAATGATATGCACGCTTGTATCTCAACCAACTCTAACGATGTAGATTCATGACCAAAAACATATGGCATGTGTTTTATACCTTGTATGCCATATACTCTTTAGCTACGTCCTGCCTCTATAGTAATTTGCCTGAATGACACTTGCCATTTTTATGCACCAATGAAAACAATCTTAAACAGGAAAGGATACTATTATTATTATGGGCTTAAAAGAAGAGACCTTTAGCCTATGATAAGGGTTTTTCTTATTCTCTTAAGGACAAGTCTCCACTGTTGTTACTTTGATTTCTCCATTAACACACTTCAGTTGCAGCATCTTTATGGTCTTTTGATTTGTCTTAGAATGCATCCCTTGCTCATGCAAAAAATAGCAACAAAGATCATTGCTCTCTGCATCTCTCTCTTTTTTAATGGCTGTAATGCAGGAAGGGAGGGAATAGGAGATTTTTCACTAGCCCACAGACCTCCCTGTAAACCAGTTTTCAAGCAACTGGAAGACACAGATTAGAGACAAAGGCCAAATCTTTCATCTAAAAGCAAACTCTTTGAACTACATATCTATTATCAGCCAATCATTGCGACCAAGTGTTCAAGGAAGAACCTTCTTGGGTGAGATAAAGAACAAAAGGAAAAAAAAAAAAAAAAAAGGAGAGCTGTTATCAGAGATTGAACCATTAATTCCCTTCACTTTGGAATGTTGCTGTCAATATCTAGACTTTCATCTTATACAAACAGGTGAAAATGTTGTGAAGCCTGACAATGTTTACAGCATCTTTTTTCCTTTTCCGCAGTGTTCCTTGCCATTTTGAAGAAATTAACAAAAAATGAATTTTATGATTTCCTCTTGCATTCCAAAAATAAACGCCCAAAAAAGAACTAGTAAACAATTAAACAGTCTCCTCCATAGTTGTAAGATTTAGGCCCAGATGGCAAGGGAAGCCATCAGACCAGCTCCTAGGAAGAGCATGAAGTAAGATGCTACTTGAAGCCTAAAATTGCAGCTCATCCTCTTACTAAGAAAATCTGCAGCAATTAAATCTACTAAAGCCATATAAACCAGAATTCCAGCTGATAAGGAGTCTAAGATGCCTTCGATAACCAGAGCTGCAGGGCTGTTAGGATTGTAGAATGAGGCAACGGCAGTCCCAATGCCGATTCCAGCTGGGGTTGTAATTGCAAAAAAACAAGCCATGATTGTGGCTGATAATGTTTTGAATTGAGCTTGAGAGATGCAGCCTCCAAGTGCAAATCCTTCAAAGAACTGATGAAATGATAATGCTGCAATTAGAGGCCTTATTGTGCATGGACTCTGGGAAACACCCAGTGACAGGCCAATGATTACTGAGTGTGATACAATTCCAAGCTCCAAAATCTGCAAAAATAGAAAGACATATGCTTACACTTGCACAGTTCTTAAAAAGCAACATAAAAATTGCTGCAACAATAATAATTCACCACAGTTTTCTTCCTCCTGCGGTTCACGTTACAACCATGACAATATATGCAAATATCAACAACTCCAACTTTTAGACCAAAATTTTAATCAGCCATTAATTAGAAGAAGATAAAGCGAAAAAAATCAAAACACTCTTGTAAGGCATTGAATGGAAAGCCAATAAGGTGACTACTTGGAACAATTTGTTTCATTCGCAATTAGGATAATTGACTTGACTGATCAAAGGCAAATGAAGAGACTTGTATGCTTATTAACACCAGGTTAAAGTTCAATACACAAGTCCGCAAGAGCCAGACATGGATGGTTGACCACCAAAAGTGAATTAAACAAGGTTGAAGCTTAGAAGGTTTCAACAAGCTTGAATGACACAAGAAAAATAAGGACAAAAGATTTTCCTAGCGATCATTACTTTGGTTGGCAAACAATAAACACAGACACTCCTACATAAGATGAAAATAAGCAGGGAGGGAGAGGGCTAGTGAGCACTTGAATCTTGTTGCACATATTAAGTGAAACAAACTTATAAACCCCAAGTTTGTGGGGGAAAAGCAGAGTTATCTGCTCCACTGACTGAAGAGAGGCACAGGCATATATTGGTGCAGTGGAAAAGCATCCCACTAGAATTCTACCATTAGATTTGTTAGCCTAATAAGACGAATCCTTAGCAAAAATTAGTTACTGATTTAACATCAACTGTCGTCTTTTTTTCCAATGACAAGATAACCAACCAACCGGAAAAGCTGTAAATCTAAGTAGATCCCCAAGTCCCAACCCCCAAAACCTGTTGATAGTTGACCATTTATTCTCAGATTCCGTTTCTTTGGCCCAGAAAAAAAGAACACAGAAGGTCCCACAAGTCACAAACAAAACTAATGCGGGTTACGTAAAGAGTCTTACTTATAGGGGGTTAAGGCAAATTTTAACCCGACCCCAGCTACAGCAATCAAGACTTAAAATAAATAGCACTAATTTACTCCCAAACAACAGAGGTTCCGAAGTAAAGACAAAGCAAAGCAACTAACCAACACGTAAGAGTAAAGGAAAAAAAAAGCATAAGAATTAGAAAAAAATTTACCTGGGAAACGACGACGTGCCTCACTCCATTATCAGCATCCCCACCGCCAAAGCCATGTTCATGTCCATGGTCATGTTCATGTCCACGACTCCTCAATAGCCCATCACAGCCATCCTGTCCATGTGGATGACTATGCCTATGATGTGCTGCATGCGCATGCATCCCAACAATGTGCATGCCCCCACCTTCCTCTTCCCCAAAAACCTTCCCATTCCAATCTTTCCCTTCCACAACTGGCACAATCGCACTCTCTGAATCTGCCTCTAACGACTCGACACGGCCCTGCTCTTCCGTTTTTCCTCTAGCCAAACCTTGTTTCTTCTCATAATACTGAGTCCCCACAAAATCCACAAGCAAAGTAATCAAAGAAGCAATCATAGCAAAGAACCCTGAAAATGGGAACTTCGACCAAGGATATTTTGGTAAGCAAGGATCCGTGAGAGCATCGGTTCCAGCAGAGAGCATGTGGACGAAGCCAGTAGCAAGAATTACGCCGGCTGCAAAGGCCTTGGCAGCAACAAAGAGGCTCCCATCTGTACGGAGGAACTTACGCTGCCTGCCAATGAGTGGAATAGCAATGCCAGCTACACCAGCGAGGAGGATTGAGGCTATGGCTATGAACTTTAACTTCAATGCTGCTGCCTCGTCACGACAAATCTCTAGCTCCGAGGATTGGCAGCTTGTGTTGCTCATTGAATCGGTTATTGACTGCAAAAGGGACTCTTTTTTTTTTTTTCAATTAAATAACAATCAATCAGAATATTGTGAAAAAAAGAAAAAAGAAAAGATAGAAACCGATCAAATTCCACCCAATTGAGATCAAATTTCACCCAATTGAAAATTTATGACAAAGTAGACAACTTTCTAAAAAAAAATTGAAACTGATCATATTTCCATCCAATTGGATTAAATTATGAAATCCCAGAACCCAAAAACCGATATTATTCAATTTTATTTCATTTGCAAAGTTTCCCACCTGTTTAACAACCCCAGAAAGAGAAAACGAACAAAAGGGTATTGAAATTTTTTAATTTACCAGAGAAAAGCTTAGTCTTTGATCCGAAACAACCAATAGAGAACAGCGGCCAGATATCCTGAAAAAAAAAAAACCAACAAACATGGTGAATTATAAAAGAAAAACACAAACCGAGAAAATAAAAAGGAGGGGGAAGCTAACCTCAATGAATAACATGGGAAGAGAAAATCAAAAGCAAAGCTGGTGGCAGGTAAAATATATATATATATATATATATATTACATCCGAGGATGATGGTATAGTGTTGTTAATGAACGCCATGATGTCAGTCTTTATAGGCTGCCGCATGGACCTCGCAAGCAGAGCATGCAGGACAGGATCAGAGGTGAGAGAAATGGAGGGGGAATTTGGAGAGAATGTCGACATCGTTTGACGAAAAGGCAACGCAACAGCGAGAGGTGGCATCTACAACTTCGACCTTTTGTTTAAAATGAGCACGACTATGTCGACATTGTTTCTAAACTCCTTTGTTTCCTCTCTCTTTCGTCCATGTTGCATCAAATTTCAATCTCCCCTTCATAGGACGCGCCGAGTTAAGTTTGTATGAGAATTAAACATAAGATAAGAATGCGTTTCAGAAAAAGAATAAAAAAATTATTCTGCTTAGTATTTTTCATTTTTTGCGTATGTTTATATTAACGGGTAAGGAATCAATTTTTTAATTTGAATACTATTTTTTTTTTGTTTTTTATTTTTAATTCAAATTTAACAATTTTTTCTATTGTATTTTGTCTTTTGAAATCAGTAGAAAAGGGAATTGAATCTTTGTTTTTTTCAAAATAATATCCGGACAATTAATAAAAAAAAACAAAAGGTACTAACACTATCACATTATTAATTAATATGATTTACTTCAACAGTGAGGTTTCTTTTTTAAAACAAATATGATGATTTTTTTAATTAATAAAATATTATTACTTTTAGAATATAATGTTTGTTTATTAAAAATTACAAAATGTTGAAATTAAATTATAATTTCATAAAAATAATCATTCTTAAATATTTAATTAAATTTTAAATTTATTTTTAAAATAATATTGAGAAAAATATATATATTCCTTCATTCTCTAAACAAAAAACATAGTTGAACGCTGAAATTATTATTATTATTATTGGCCTTTTTGCTGTCGTGTATGTGACTGCCAATAATATTCCCATTATCCAATCTCTTGCTCCTTTTGTTGTCCTCTGGGGACGGGAAATAGGCATCTGATTTTAAAATTAAACCACATCTTTGAAAACATATTCATAATCATATGATTCAAAGATAAATCTTTGGACTGTTGTATGTAAATATTTTTTATATGATTTTGGTTAGGCTTAGATAATCTCAAACGTGATACGAAAATAATATAAATAAAAAATATAAAAATAATATGATTTAAAATTTTAATAAAATTTTAAAATATATATTATATATTTTTATATTAATATAAATTAAAATATATTATTTTTATATAAAATATAATATAAATATATAAAATTATTAATATTTTACGTATACAAATATTCAAATTATTATATATAATTTCGGTGGCCTTAGTTACACGGGCAAAAAAAATCCGTGACTAAGAAGATAAAAGGCCCGATTCAGCTGTTGTGGTTTGGGCCAACTAGCTCCAAATATGGTAACCGAAGGATCCGAGGAACAATCAGCTCGTTTGTGGTTCATTGTTTTTCTTTTGGGCCGCAGTTTATAACTGGACTGCAATGGCCAGTAGGCCTCAAATAGGAAGAAGACAAAAATTCTTTCTTAATTAATTGACAATTAATAATGGCCAATTAAAGGTAAAATCTTAAATAAATTAAGTCAATATGAAAAAATATATCTTTTTTTTTTTTGTTAAGAGATTACATTACAATTTACACATCTAATTTCTTAATATATTCTTCATTTAAATCTTTTATACTATGTTTTTATATAAACTAATATTAACTTTTATTTTCTTTTAAAAACAAAATTAATATTATTATATTTTAATAATCACATCATCAATATTATAATTACATCATAATTTATGTTCGCAAATGATGAAAGACAAAAATTTAATTATTTCGCTAATCATATTATCGATTATGAAATATAAAAGAAACTCTAGAGTCTTTGTTTTCTTTAGCCATCATCTCTTCACTTGTATTTTTTTCACTCCCCGCCATAAGGTTGGCTAACTTGAATTTTGAAGCACATTTCAAAATATTACATCCAACCGCTTTTGACTTTATTATCTTTGACAAATTTAATCTCTAACAAGCTTCACTCTCGTTATATCCAAAATTATAGTACCGATGCATTTCTTAAGCCCAAAATCATGACAAGTTTGAACAGTAGAAATTAGAAATCTCAACAAACAAACAGATTGGAATTATTGCCATTTGGAAGACAATGATAATATTCCATCATTTTAAGATTGAAACAAGAGATGTCTTGTCCCAAAGCCAAAGCCGAAGATTTAGGCTACAATGCTTTGAGCAAAATTTCTAAAGAGTTGGTAGGATTTTTATTCGGCATAAAAATATTGGGGAAATAAAAGACAAAAACCAAATACGACAAAGACCAAATACACCAAAAAAACTCATTGCATCATCACTTGTTAATTAAAGATGAAAATGTTGTTTGAGTATTGAAAAATTACGAAAAAAAATATTATTTGAAATGATGTTAAAAAAAATTGTATTGAAAGAAATTTAAAGAATCGTTTACTGTTTAAATAAAATAAAGATGAGAGGTTGTTTAAGTAAATGCCATCAACGGCGCCGTTTGAAGTTGAGCCGTAAATGCATCCCTGTCAGATTCCTCTATGAAGAGAGGCAGCAGCTACGACCTCGCATTACTCGTACTCCCAGCGAGACCAAAGCCAACTGCTCTCCTCTTTATTAATCTATAAAGCTAAAAAAAATCTAGAAATAATGGAATGAAATAATTTTTTTTTTACAATAAAATTTAACGTAATTAATTAAGATTTAGAGTTTGGATATAAAATTATCAAATCGAATCCTTACGATTTTGTGTTAATAGATGATTTGTATATTTAAAATATTTTAAAAAATTCATAAATTTTTTTATTAATTGATGATTTATCCTAATATTGAAAATATAATAATTTCTCTTACTTTTAATTCTTTTTTTTTTTTAAATTTACATTATTATATTTATGCATAAACCAAAATTGGGTCCCCTCCCAAAAAAATCCAAACTCTCATCAAGATAAAAGAGAAAGCCCTCCTTTCCGCTCGAAATTTTTATTCCAACTAATAGGCCATAGCCTTAACTTCACCCACCACTCCAGGCTCCACTCTCATTTCAATTGTTTTTTTTGTTCTCTACCCTTTCCTTGCGCGGTTGTGTTGGAGCCCTCCTCTTTTTCCGTCTTAGCAAGAAACAGGAAAAGCGAAGCCATGTTGGAAGAATCAATGTCGACTGTACCTTCTTCCATCTGGGCTTCCATATTCAGCTGGTTTACTCCTACTGTTTTCTTTGTGTTCCTCAACCTTACAATCGGTACCATTTATTTTACTTCCACCTTGGCCTCTAACAAGCCTGCACGTGTTGGTGAAGGAGAAGAAACCCCAAAACTTGTTAGATCTCCATCAGTTTTACAAAGGCTGAAATCTACCAACTTGTATTCTAATAGCTCCCAAGAATCTGTTACTGCCACTGCCACTTCGACCGCCTATGAGAAAATCCCAGATGTGGATGATGGCCATTTTTCTTTTCAACAGCAAACCCCTGAACAGGACCAAAGGCAGCGACAGCCTTACCTTGGTAGATCTCCTTCAGTTTTGCAAAGGCTAAAGTCTATTAACCTTTATGGTTACTTCTCTCCTGAGGCAACCCCCTTGCACAAAAACCAAGGAATTTACTCCCATTACACTCCAGAACAAGCCCGTGAGGAAGAAGATGAACAAGAACAAGAACCTGAAGAAGAAGTAGAAGAAAACCAAGGAGGTCTAGAGGAAGAAGAAAAAGAAGAAGAAGGTGAGGGAATCCAATGTCAAGAGCAAACCCTTGATGAAATATACAGTCAGCTGAAGGATAGTCATGTTACCAGGACCAAATCCGACACCAAACCAGCATCTGGGGGGGTACCGACTAAGCTTACAAGGGAGATGAGGAAATCTGCCAGTGTCAAGTCCGCCTTTTCACATTTTGAAGAAGAGGTAATTGTTGAAACACGACGGCCAGCTACTATGAGGGAAGGGAAGGCTAAAGCTACAGAGGAGGATGATGAGGTGGATGCCAAAGCTGACGATTTTATCAACAAGTTTAAGCAGCAGTTGAAGCTGCAAAGCATTGATTCCATCATTAGGTACAAGGAGATGTGAATAGAAGGAGTGGAAGGTGAAATAAGTTTCAAATTTCTCCTGGTGGAAGGTTAGGTTTTCGACTGTTTTTGGTTGATTTCGGGGTTTGATTATTGGGTTGTAATGTAAGTGTAGATCTACTACTAGTATTGTTTACGATCTGTTGAACTTTCTGTTAAAAAATATGGCACTTCAATTTCATTTCTGGTTTCCTACTGTCTCTTTCTTTTCCTTTCAATGGCGCTTAGGTTATTTGGGTCAATCTCCAGGCTTACATCCATTAAGCACTCTGTTCATGAAATGATTGTTGCCATTGTCATTCCTAGCATTTGCTTTTAGCTTGCTCTATGCTAAGTGCTAAGATGCAATGTGAGGGGCATTTTGATGATTTCAGACAAAACTGAAACCTGTCTGTTCAACACTGGAAGTGGAGAAAAACTGGAAGGAGAAGGACTTATTTTGCGGCAGAGAGGCGATGTTACTAAAATGCCCAAGTTTATTTAGATTGAAATAGACAGAAAAGGGGATTAACGCATCAAAGCAGATGGGCGATTTGGCAAAAGGAGTTTTGTGAAATTTGATTGTCCACATAATGCCGATCCCATCTGTGGCAGGTGGTTGGCTGTGCTGCACGTGGGTGATTTTGTTTGTTACCATGCTTTAACACCCAATTTAACGTGCATGTACAGCAAGGATTTTTATGTAATTGGGGGGGGGGGGGGGTGATTGACCAAATGGTTTCCAAAATGAAGCATTTTGGGCATCAAACAAAAATCAGGTTGAATTTTGGGTGTTTGGGATCTTTTTTATGATCATCACTCTTCATGTTGGTGGGACTGATTAAATTATAAGTGACTTGAGCTCTTTCTCATAGCACTATGATCATGTGTTTTACTTTTTTGTGACTACTGACTAGTTTAAGTCATCTTAAGAGATGAAATGACATCAAATCTACTAAAATATGCATTTTTCTACTCAACACTAATTGTCCCATATTGTCTTTTCAAAGAGTTTTGATTTCAGACTACCCAATTCCCCCTTTCTCCTTTTTTCTTTGGTTATATGAATTGGTTCAAAGGATCAAGTGGGTAGATCTTCTGATGTAATGACATGAAAAAATTAGAAGGTTGCTTGCTCCTTTTGGTTAGCCAAGCAAAATGAAGAATGCCACCATTTATCACAACAAATGTCACTTGATGACAATTTCTGTTCAGAAAGAGGCTTATTTTGGAGTAATAGCACTGGAAATTTCACTAGT